GACAGAGTCTTGCTCTGGTGCCCAGGCTAAAATTCCATGATATCTGCCTTGTTCACAACAACCTTGAACTCCTGGGCTCAAGTGATCTCTTGCCTTAGCCTCCTGAAGAGCTAGGACTACAGGTGACCACCACCAGGCCCAGCTAATGTTTCTATTTTTTAGTAGAGACTAAGTCTCACTTTGCTTAGGCTGCTCTTAAACTCCTGACCTCAAGCAATCCTCCTGCCTCAGCCTCCCACAGAGCTAGGGTTACAGGCTTGCCCTCTGCAGTGTTGCTACATTTAGTGTGCCTCTGTCCCTAGACTGTCATTCCCGTCAGGAAGGGTCCATGGCTTACCCATCCTCATCACCAATGACCAGCAGAATCTCTGACTACTGAGCCCTCACTAAGTGCTTCATGACATGTATGGAATGAGCTCTCACTGTCAGCTTGACTTTCTTGTTTTTGTTTTTTTAATCAGCATGCAAAAAAATCCAGTCTGTCACTGAAGTATCATAGGACATAGGGCTAGAGTCTGGGATATAGGGATAGAGGTAATAGTCAGGGGTTGAAAAACACAGTAGACAGAGGAATGAGGATGATATCAAGCAAAGTCAAAAAGTAAAGTAAGCAGTGAGACTATTACAACAATTTAGAGTTCAGTGAGGAAATGCTACTTTTCTAAGGTCAGGGTGTCCCAAAATGTGCCAATAAAGTCACCATACATAGGGAAAAAGGGGAAATTGCAGCTAAATGTACCTTTATTTATAAAATATTCGTTATAAAATTTTACAAAATATTTCTAAAATAGGATCTACATGTTGGCCACCTCTTTGTAAAATCTTCTTGTTTCCCTTCATTTTTACTCTCTTCATTTATAAAAAATAATTCCCACAGTTTGAACTTGAAAATGACATCCACAGACATTATAGTGCTAGCTGTTATAACAGATAAACTCTAAATTTCAGTGGCTTAAAAATAGAAGTTATCCCTTGATAAATTCCAAAATGACCAGGACTTGCTTTCACAGCCTTTCAGGGAACTAGGCTCTTTTCATTGTATGGCTCCACCCTTCTCTAAAACCTCAGAATCCTTTCCATTCAGCTGGAAAAACAGGGATGGAATAGAGGTTCAAACAGGGAGGTTTTTATGGACCAGGCAGGCAAATGGAGCACATCACTTTGATCATAAGGCATGAGCTAGTGCTCAGTCACATGACCACTTGGACTCGCAAGGGAGACTGGGCAATGGAGTCCCATTGTGGCAGCAATAGAAGAATGGGGCTGGTGAAGAGGTAGCCTGCCTCTGCTGCTAACTGAAAATTATTTCAACAATAGATAATAGCAACCTAGAGCACTATATGTAGCTCTCTCTCTACTCTCTCACTTAATCATTACAATCATCTGATAGGATTGGGAACTAGTATGTCCAGTTTAGTAACCTAAGGTCACAAAGCTCTGATTGATAAACCACAATTTAGACCCAGTTCTGACAACAAAGTCCTCTGTACTATGCCACATTTCCAATTAAAACACAATGTTGAAAGGTAGGGCATGGTGGCTCATGCCTGTAATCCTAGCGCTCTGGGAGGCCAAGGTGGGTGGACTGCTTGAGCTCAGGAGTTGGAGACCAGCCTGAGCAAGAGTGAGACCCTGTCTCTAAAAAACAGCCAGGCGGGCGCCTGTAGTCCCAGCCACTCAGGAGGCTGAGGCAAGATGATCTCTTGAGCCAAGAGTTTAAGGTTGCTGTGAACTATGAAGCCATGGCATTCTACCGAAGGCACCAAAGTGAGACTCTGTCTCAAAAAACAAACAAACAAACAAAATATTGAAGTGAGATTATAGCCTAAATTACTGTTACACTTCAAAGATCCTATAACTGTAGCATCATCAATAGAGTCAAGCAAGCCAGCATGTGCTTGCAATCCCAGCTACTAGGAGGTTGAGGTGGGAAGATTGCTTTGAGCCCAGAAGTTCCAGACCAGCTTGGGCAACATGGTGAGATCCCATCTTCAAAATAAAAAAAATTTTTAAAAGAGGCCATCCTTTGAGATGTTTTTCTAAATGGAATGATGGACTTACGTTAATTTACTAGAACTCTTTCCCATTTTGTTTTCATTTATTTATTTATTTATTTTAGAGATAGAATTTCACTGGGTTGACTAGGCTGGAGTGCACTAGAGAAATAATAGTTTATCACAACCTCAAGTTCCTAGGATCAAACAATCCTCCCAATTCAACCTCCTGAGTGGCTGGCAATATAAGCAGGAGCTACTGTGTATGGCTAATTTTTAAAAATATATATTTTTGTAGAGACAAAGTCTTGCTACATTGCCCAGGCGGGTCTCAAACTCCTGGCCTCAAGTGGTCTTCCCATCTTGGCCTCCCAAATTGCTGAGATTACAGGCATGAATCACCACGCCCAGCCCTCTTTTCCATTTTAATGTAATGCACAACTCTGAAGAAATCATAGCAGTCTCCTTTACTGGCCTGCTCTTCAGTCTCATCACTTACGTCTCATTAGTACTAACAACATAACTATGCATTTCCAGAGTTAACTTTAAACCTACACTTCTAAAAGACATAAAAATATTGTTTCATTTTATCTTCACGCCCTTTGAACACTAGACACATCCATTAGATATTATCCATTTACACATGAATAATAGCTAAGTTACTCTGTGTAAGAGGTAAGAGTTGTGTACCAGGAATTTATTGACATAGCATCAAGGCACCAGAGATGCTAAGAGTTGAATAGAAAGTATAACAGGTCAGGCTAGTGAAAGTGTCCAATAATTGTCCCAGAATTCAGAGATTCTATTTATTGTTTTGCCAGAGGTCATTTCTTATTTCTCAAAGTACTTTTCCCTAGGACTTTCATGACATTGTCTATTCTTGCTTTCTTACATCTTCATTATGTCTTTATTGGGTGGATATGTTGATTTGAGTATGTAAAACCTAACAGTGCCTACTGCTGTACTAAAAAAATACCTTGCTATTTAAAGCATGAGGTGAACACCTAACTTAGCTGTTTCCTAAAATAATTCCACAATTTATAGAGAAATCCCTAAACTTTCTCTAAAACAAAAGGCATATATTCTACATAGACCCATATTTGAGAAATACATTTTAAAAGACATCAATTTCCATTTTAAAAAAGATTTAGCTTAGTGTCTTCTGTCTCATATTTGGTGCCTACTACAAAACTGGAAACAGTAAAAACAACCAGCTTTTGAAATATTAGTCATTTTAAGTGAGTCATTCCCTAAAAAAAATTTACTTGAGAGTCAAATAAAGTTGACTTGAACATCTCAGAAATAAAACCCTAATCAATTTGTTCATCCATTTGACCTACTATGCTGCAAAAACTTATAAAGAAGTAAAACACACTGGAAATCAACTGATCAGAGAAACTTGCCTCATGGACTGTACGATGCCAATGGTCGTTTAAAGGGGAAAAGTAATTTGAAGAAGTCTTGGGGTCCAGACGTTGTATCAATCACCTATAAAAGACAAAGTACTAGAAGCATGAGGAATCATTTTGAGTCTATTACTGAGAATTTGAATTCTTTTTTTTTTTTTTTTGAGACGGAGCCTCAAGCTATCCCCCTGGGTAGAGTACCGTGGCATCACGCTCACAGCAACCTCCAACTCCTGGGCTCAAGCGAGTCTCCTGCCTCAGCCTCCCAAGTAGCTGGGACTACAGGCGCCCGCCACAACGCCTGGCCATTTTTTGGTTGCAGCCATCATTGTTGTTTGGCGGGCCGGGCTGGGGATTCGAACCCACCACCTTAGGTGTATGTGGCTGGCGCCTTAGCCGCTTGAGCCACAGGCGCCGAGCCGAGAATTTGAATTCTTAAGAGCTGTGGTCTCCAATCCCTGGACCAGTGCCTTTTGTGGCCTGTTAGGAACCAGGCACATAGCAGGTGAGCAGTGGGCAAATGAAGCTTTATCTGTGTTTATAGCCACTCCCCAGTGCTCAGATGGCCACTTGAGCTCTATTTCCTATTCCATCAGCTGCTGCATTAGATTCTCAAAGGAATATGAACCCTACCCTAAAATGCCCATAAGAGAGATGTAGGTTGCACGCTCCTAGAGAATCTAATGCCTATTGATTTGAGGTAGAGCTGAGGTGGTGATGCGAGTGCTGGGCCGTGGCTACACACTATCATTAGCAGAGAGGTTTGACTGTACAGGGTGTATAATGAATTGTTTGCAGATTCATATCAAAACAATTGCCCCCACTCCCCACAACTCCAGAAAAATCGTCTTCCATGAAACTGGTTGGGGACAGCTGCAGGGAACCTGAGGTTGAATTCCTGAGCCTCTTCTGTCAGCTGTGCTTAGTGCAGGCCCCTAGCAGGTGCTCAGTGAGGGAAAAGTCAAAGAGGCCTAGGTGTTTACACGGGGGTAACAGGAAGCGTTCCAAGTTCTCTCACTGCTAACTATAAACACTCCATGACTGTGACCAGGTTGTGCAGGTCATCCAAGCATTAGTCTCTTCTTAGTTCCAACACATTTAAAGAGGAAAGGTGTAGAGATTCATACTGTGAATATAGCTCTTCGAACTTCCTTAAGTCAACTGGGTGGAGAGCCCTACCGTATGAGGCACCTGCAATTTCCGCCCTTCTCCTTCCCCTGCTTCCTGGCTTCTGTCCCCCAGTTTGTGGTCCATTCTCACCGCCAGCTGGGTCAACCTGGGCCCCGGGCACTACGACATCCCTCAAACTTTGCTTCCAGAAAAAGGTAATGATCTTTATGTTTTTAATAACTTCATTATGAGGTCGTCAAATGAAACTTAATTTTACATCTAGCCTACGAGAAAACCAATCAGTGCGTTTAAGGCTATTTCTTTGCTTGTTAAGACTAATACGATCACCTCCAAGCCTCCATCTAAAGAGACCTTTTTCCCCCTGGGTAACTGAGGCCTCCCGAAAGCTGCGTCGCCTCAGGCCTCACCTCCCGCTGACTCCTCCCGGCCCACCTCGCCGCCCACCTATTGTCCCCTCGCGGCTGTCCCTGAGTGCATATTCCGAGCTCCCGATTGGAAAACCTCCCCGCCACTCAGCCATACTCAAGGGCCGATCGCCTCACTCTTTTCCGAGCCTTAAAAGGTCTAAGGCCGCTTTCCCGGAGTAGCAGGTAAAGCTGCGGCGGCTGGAGGGAGGGGCCGCGCGCCCAGGTCGGCCGAGCCCGGGGAAAGGGAGGTGCCGGCGCAGTAGAGGCAGTGCGCCCCGCCGCCCCTCCCTGCCCTTCTGATCGCTCCCTGTTCCCCTGGGTCCTGCTCTTTTTGCCCAGGACACCAAGCCACTCCCGTAATCCGCCCCGGGATGGCCCTGGGGCAGTTACCAGCCCAAAGCACGGAGGGCGGGGCGGGCCAGGCTGCCGCGGGGGGGGGCAGGGAATGTGAAGGGTCCCGGATGTTGTTGAACCGGAGCCCCTTCTAGAGGGAGTGACTAGCGCAGGCGCAAAAGGATGAAGGAACGCTAACGTGGGGGCGGGGAGAAGTTTCCTTCCAGTGGGCGTAAAGGAAGAGTAAGCTGGCAGAGGTTGCGGGGGAGATAGAGGGCGTCTAGGATCCAAGGGGAAGGCCAAGAAGGGGGTTAGCGGTGGAGAGGGAAATAAAAAACCAGCTTCCTGCCCAGTAGTGCTGGGGACACGAGTAGACAACTTGGAAGGAAAGCGGTGTGGGGAGGAGTTGGTAGCGGGCGAGGGGCGTGCTCCTCCGCTCGCCCTCTAGCGCGGGCGGGCAGGGCGCGCGCTGGGGAGCGGCGGCTGCGCTGAGCCCCGAGAGCTGTGGGCACCAATCAACGGTTGCCATAGCAGCGTTTGACGTCATCGTGCGTGTGGTGCCCCTGCTGCCGGGGCTGGTGATTGGAGGAAACCCCGTGTCTGCGGAGCGGCTGTAGCCTGTGAGCAGCGAGATCCAGGGACAGAGTCTCAGCCTCGCCGCCGCCGCCGCCCAGAGACTGCTGATCCCCCGTCCGTCCGTCCGTCCGCCGCCACCCACTCCGGACACAGGTAAGGAGTCCGGCCGCCGCCTCGCCCCACTCCCTCCTGTCCCCGGCCAGCTTTCCACACGCGTGGGTGCCATCCGCGCTCCACGTCCCCGCGGCCCGGCTCGGCCCGCGGTGGTGGCGCTGGGCTGAGGCGGAGTCTCCTCAGGCGGACACGGGTGGCGGCTTCTCTTCCGCTGGATTCTCGAGGGTGGCTAGCGGCCGCCTCCGGTCCTGGCTTCCGGATCGACGCCTGGCCCCGATCGGTGCCCGTTTCCCCTCCCCGTGCCCCGGGGTGGAAAGGGCGCCCACACGCGAGGTCCCCGGGGACCCCACGGTCACCGGCTCCCGGGGATGGGCGAGGCATAGCCCGGGCGCCACCGGCCGCAATCCGTCCCCACCCTCGCTCCCGTGGGCTCCCACCCCCTTCCCCTTCGCCGCCCTTCCCCGCTTCCGCCCGAGATAATGACTCGGCGACGACGGCGGGCATTGCAGTGGCGCAGGTGAGGCCGCCCCCTCCCTGCTCCCTCTCCTCTCCCCTCCCCCTCTTCCTCCCAGACTCGGCGCAGCCTCCGCGCTCCGCTCTGCGGCGGGACCGGCCCTCCCCCACCCTGGGAGGCGGTGGCGGGGAGGGGCCGGGGACGCTGGGCCCGGCGGGAAGGGCTGGGTCGAGAGCGGGCCTGAGCCCAGGCCCGGCCTGGTGGAGCCCGCCAGGTAGACCAGGGCGAGGCCGTGTTCTGGCGCCTAGGAGAGTGAGATTTTGGGGTGGGGCCCGCCTGGGACCCGGAGCTGAATTTCCTGGGTTCCGCGGTGGGAGGGAGGACTTGCGTGTTCCCGATTGGGGTGGGGGATGGGGCTGACATTTTCCCAGTCTTGTGAATGGGCGGGGGAGGTGCGGATGGGGGCTCCGGGCCCAGGTGGGATAGGGAAGGGGATGGGAAAGCCTGCAGGCCGTGTCTGTAGCTCTCCTACGGAACGGGCTACAACTAGAGGGTCCCAGCGCTCGGTTTTGGGACGCCTGTCCTTCTTGGCGGGTCGGGGGAGTCTCAGCATAACAGCCGGTGGCGTGCCCCCCCCCCCGGCTGGGTGTGGCTCCCTCTGGTTCCCATCCCCCTATCTGCTGCAGCTGTCGGGCGCTTACTGAGTCTGGAAAGGGGCACCGCGGGGTTCAGTAGGGAGGAAGACGCCCGGAGGGAGAGCGGGGTGTGTCCGCGGTGGGGTTGGCGTCTGTGCCCCCAGGTCGGGCGGGCGGCTTCTCTCCATCCCTCCCCACCCCCCGCTTGGGCGGGGGCGCCGGCTGCTCCTCCCTCTAGCTCTGGGTTGGGGAGGGAATTAACACTCAGCGGTAGGTTGGGCTCCTTGACATAGATCCGCCGTGACAAAGAAGAGTCGGGGACTTCTGCGGAGGCACTAGCTTGGGCGGAGCCAAGGTGGGGGTGGTTGCGGATAGCTGGGACTGGAGGATTTACACTTTAAAGTCACGGTCTGCGGATTTTCGTTTCACCCTATCCGACGTCTAAAGTCAGTTAAGGGTTAAATGGGTGCGGCGACTGCTCCCCGCAATGTAGAGGCGACGTTTTAGAGCACCAGCTATTCTGTGAGAAACCTTATCTACTTCCCCTTGTAGTGAACTGAGGCCGAGGAGAGATACGTTTGTACTGGTTTTAAATCATTTTTTGTTAGAAGCAGCGTTAACCAGAGAACGTTTTTTGACTTCCTAGGGGAAAGATTAATTTTGAGGCCAGAGGAAGATACGTGATCACGAATTTTGCAGTTTACTAAATAGAACAGTTCTCCCCAATCCAAGCTAGCTGATTAGTTTTGTTAAGTGGTAGGGACCTGTTGTCAAATTTGGTTAAAGTACTGTGGGATTTCCCTGGAAAGGTAATTATGATTGACATCGGAGAGTCAATTCCCCTGGCGGTTGACAATGGCTCTTCTGCTCACCTTCTAGTTTAAAAAGTGCACTTACGGCGATTTTCCTTTAAAATTATTTATTCTGTGGTATCACTATGGATTAGTTATCTTTGTACTGTTTCATTTTAGCACCTTAGAAAAGAGTGTTTTTTAAGAAATATGTAGCCGAAGTAAATTGAAAAGTCTAGGGAATTTTAAAATGGAGGGAAGAGAAAGTGTGAAGGCTTGGTAAAAGGCAACTCGTGATAACTTTTTAATTAAAGTGTGACTACTAAAAGCAAAATGCAGTAATTTTACGTTTAAATTTGAGCGTTAACATTGTGAACACTTGTAGATTAAGTGCTTCCTCAGTGACATTTTAGTGCTGACAGATACTAAAGAGTTGAAGTTCCAAGCCCCTTGGATTTTTTTTTTTAAGCATGTGTGCATATAACAAGGTTTAGATGGATGAGCCCTAGGATAGGTTAGATATTGATCCTTGGTGGTTTTATACATAATATCTAAGAACAAACTAAGACAAATTTAGTCATTTTTCCTGTAAAATGGTAATGCTGTGATCAGCTGCCAAGTATTTTAGAGATCAGTAGATTTGAGGTGGGCTAATACCAACTATAATCACTCCAGATAAGAGTAAGTATTGTAAAAGAAAAATGGTATGAGTACCTTACAGTAACAAGAATCATGATTCTGGAAGTTATCACGGAAATCCTGTTGTTCTCTGTAGGCCATATATTTGCTAAAGAAAGAAAAGTTGCTTAATTTTGGATCACTTTGAGATACTGGAAAGGCGTTGACGTTTTGGTGAAATAAGATTGGTATTTTTAAGGTGTCCTTTTGACCAAATGTGCTTTGACTTTATGTGAAATAAGGATCTGCTGAACAGAGAGATGAGATAATGAAATTTTAGTTTTACTAAATTGATAATAATGCTGTAAATTTATGAGTATGCTATCCCCCCCCTTTTCTGATTATCCTTTTGTGAAGGCTGCATTTTAATTGCTCATGTGAAGAATCTTCTGCCGGCAGTTAGGTTCAAGGTGTTAATAAAGGCTATTTACCACAGGTAAAGTTTTGAGCTTGTTTATTTTGATGGGAAAAAAATATTTAAATGCTCCTTTTTTTCCCCCTGCAGAGCATCCAGTCATGGATAAAAATGAGCTGGTTCAGAAGGCCAAACTGGCCGAGCAGGCTGAGCGATATGATGACATGGCAGCCTGCATGAAGTCTGTAACTGAGCAAGGAGCTGAATTATCCAACGAGGAGAGGAATCTTCTCTCAGTTGCTTATAAGAATGTTGTAGGAGCCCGTAGGTCATCTTGGAGGGTCGTCTCAAGTATTGAGCAAAAGACGGAAGGTGCCGAGAAAAAACAGCAGATGGCTCGAGAATACAGAGAGAAAATTGAGACCGAGCTAAGAGATATCTGCAATGATGTACTGGTGAGAATCAAACATTTAGTCTAGCCTTTATTATACGGTTTCAATGAGTATCAGTTACATTGCTCTGAAGTCTGGCTTTTCTTTTCCTTCTAAAAATTAAGCATTCTAAATTTAGAACTCTTTGGGTGCCATTATTAAAAGATGTTAAAACAATTATAGATTATGTAAAATAAAACTATTTATCAAACAGTTCAAGTTCACTTTTGCTAAAAATAATAGACTGTGTTGGTGTATTTTGTAATTAAAAAGATCAACTAATAGGATTACTATTTAGTTAGAATATTTGTAGTAATTCCAGAGCTGATTATCTTAATTGCACATCTGTGCATGCAGGAATTTTATATGTCTTGTTTTATATGAGACAGATGTAATAGGAGACTCATTGTAGACATAGTACCCTTCTTTGGATTAGTCAGTATAATGTTAATGAGTCACCTGTGCAGAAAACTCTGGCTTCACAGTTGCCTCTGCCTCTTCCTGAATTCAAGTGTTGGAAATCAATTTTGTGTATTGACAGCCTGCTATGTTGAAGCCACTGTGCTTCTCTAGTAAAACCTTTAAAAAATTAAACATTGCATTTTGGTTAGTTGCAATTAGTTTCACAGAGTCTGGCTTTCTGATCTAGAAAAACTTAATCTGAGGATAAAATAGAAGATACAGTTAGCATATAACGTTCTGTATATATGAATACATCTCTTTTTAATGAGCCAAGAGTTTTGGAAGTAATATTTAAAGTGATTTTATTAAGTGATTACTCCTAAAACACAGGACTTCAGGTTATCATTGAATCTTAAGTATGACAGGGCTCTGTCATATAAATGAGCAGTATCCCACTTTCTCTATAGATAGGTTACTGATCTAGAACTCAGTATAGAAATCAGGTGCAGTACTTAAGTATTTGAATCTCATTCTTAAAAGAACTATACGGAGCAGTAGGATTATTTCTGATATGGTTGTGGGTTTGGGGTTTCTGTTAAAGTTTTGGTGGTATTATGATTACCTTACACTGGTGTTAATGGAAAACCTCCAGTTCCTAAATTGTATTTTTCTCAAACGATAATTTCTTCAAGTTGTGTTTTTTAAAGAAGAGTGGTTTTCCTAAGTCAAAAAAGGGATATCATATTTTTTTTGAGGCTAAATGACCAAGGCCTGCCTGTCTTGTGATTGATAAGGTAATGAGAATTTTTAAAAATTGAAAATGTCAAAAAAGTATTGTTTTTTTTCTTCCTGCTCTCCTGTACATGTTACTGAACTTTGTTCAGTTTGGTGTTTTTTCCCCCAGTTACACCTGATCAAGTGATTTTTATTTTGGCTTCAAAGGGTATGTTACAGGTTATAATTTCTCTAAAGACAAAAGCCAGTTTTAGGGACAAAAGGAATATAGGAACATTTATCTTCTGTTAACAAGATTATTTGCATTTGCAGGTAGGTATTTGCATGTTTTCCATACACAAAGTATGAAAGTTCCTGTCATGGTGAGGATTCTCCTTAGAAAGGACTTGCACCAGTTTTAACTTTCTTCTCCTTCGTTTCCTGCAAAAGTACTGCATAGAACCCATAGATGAGAATGACTAGATTAACTTTTGTTGACATTATTAAGGATGTTGATACTGGTCACTACCGTGTTGTTCCCCTCTGGAATAACACTGGCTTCGCACAAAGTCTAAAAGAAATTTCCACTTTGGAAAGTTAAGATGAATGGAAATTTAATTCCTTTTACATACAAATGGCTTAGAGAATTCCAGAAAAAAAACACTTCCAGCCTTGGTCTTTCAAGAATAGGGCTCATAATAGATGCTCAAATATTTGTTAAATAATTAGTAGGGCTTCTTAAGAATTAGGTCAGCAGCACTGCCAATTTTTTTTTAAATGTTAAATGTGTGATTTTTTAATCAGACATTTTAGGAAGGGAAATATCCATAGCTTTAATACTCATCACATTTTTAAAGACACCAATACTCAAATAGATAAGAAGCAAGCACTGCCAAATTTTTATGGCTTTTTCTTTTTCAAGTTGGGAAGATTTGGTATTTACAGATACCCTGAGTGGGCATCTTTTTCCTACCATTTTTTTCAGAGATCATGTTGACCCTGGAAGCATCTTGTATAAAATTCCTACTCCCTTTTGTAAATAAAATGGAAGAGTAATGTGTAGCAGATTTCCATCAGAAAAAAATTTCTGAGCCATCGTTCTTAAAGATTAGTAAGAATATATTTAATTCATATTTTAAGATCGTAAATAATAAAAATATAATCACTTACAACTTTTTTTTTTTTTTTTTTAAAGACAGAGTGTCACTCTGTCACCTGGGCTAAAGTACCATGGCCTAGCTCATAGCAGCCTCAAACTCCAGGACTCAAGCAATCCTCCTGCTTTAGCCTCCCAGAGTATAGGATTACAGGCATGACCACTGTACCTGGCCACTTACAACTTTCATTACTATAGCTTTTTTTGAACTTGGATTGTTTTTTAATTTGAGAAAAAGAAGCAGGTAATCCCTTTGCAGAATAGTGTTGGATGACAAACTGTCAGTGACAACAGTGACAAACCAGTCTTTGTTAGGACAAGCATGTGTTTTATAATAGCTAAGAAATTTCTTCCTACAGAAAGCACCTAGTCTTCAGAGTTCTGAGTTTTCTGAAGAGATGTTTATTTATTTATTTTTGTCTTATTTGTTAAGCATCTAGTATGAAGAGCATTTTAGTAGCCCATTCAGGTTATGTGCATTTATCAAGTGTTTCATTCCATATAGTAAGCAAAGATTGGAGACCATGTTACTTTTTACAAGAGCTATGAAGTATTACCATGGGAAATAGTTACTGGCATATTCTTCACAAAGTAGACTTTTCACTATGTTAAAGAACTTGAGGTTCTTTTCTTATTTGTGCCGTTAATTTGAAATTGCAGTATATACGTACTAATGCAATTTGTGTTTCCTGTTTAGACCAAAAGCTCTCTTGGTAGTTGGGGCTGTCCAACTACCCAACAGTAATACCTCTTCATAGACTTGAAAGATGTAGCCAGCAATTGAGTTGTTTTTTTATCTTGTGAATGATAATGAGATAAAAAACAAAATGACTACATACTAGACCTAATTCAAACTCAAACATGTATTGCTGGGGTGTAATAGAGCTCAAGATCTTTGAGTCAAACAGTGGTTTTGCTGTAGATGTATGGCCTAAGAAAATCACTCAATCCCTTGAGAAAAAAAAAAGCTCAATTAAATAGGAATAACTATCTGGCCACTTACAACTTTTCAAAAAAAGCTATAGTAATAAAAGTTGTAAGTGGCCAGGTAGTTGTGGCAAATGAGAGTTAGGTACTTTGACTACCTTCTGTTTATCTCAACTTTGGGGTTCTGTTCAAAAGCAGTGACAAAACTGCCTGTTCATAGTACAGGGGTCTCTTAATTCAACAGACTATGAATGGGATTTAAAAGATCCAAAAAGTCTTTAAAATTGTGTGTGTATTTTTTCTGGGGCAAAGGATCCATGCTAGCCATCAGCTTTTCAAAGATTTCATTCAAACTTTGAAAGCCACTGGTAGAGGCAAACAATGACTTTTAGGTGGTCTAGGAGAGGAATCAGTAAAATGGCCTTCTAAGATTTGTTAACAGTTGGCAATAGTAGTTGAGTAATTCCCCCCCCCCCTTCGACACCGTGAACCACCCCCCCACGCCCATAGTTGAGTAATTTTAATAGTGATTCAGTTAACTTGAATGAGTTCCATTTTGTTAAGGTGCTCTACATTTTTATTTGCCTAGGGCAGTTTTAAGGTGTGGTTTTAGGGCGCTGATTTTCATCTGCAGCTCACAAAACTGCCATTAAACAGGAGCAAGATAGAAAACCAGACGGCTTTTTAGGTCTTCCCTGGTCTGAATATATTAATATGTGCCTTTGGCTTTAAAAACTGTTATATAGAATTAGATTTTAGGCTGAAAATTACTAGGCAGCTCGTTTAGTAGAAGAAGGACATCTCCAAAGAATTCTGCAGTGTTAAACCCATCTTTACATCTTTATGGATGTACTATATATTTACATATCTTTGTGACTTTTGGTGTGTTTCACTTAAGGATAAAGAACTTAAGTGACATTTAGATACCTGTAGTCTCTTTTCAGAAGGAATACATTAGACAGTTGTCTTCATGATAATAAAGTTCAATAGTCTGTTTTTTAAAGTTTATTGCACCTGATGAGGTATTTTGTACAAACACAAAGAGACTGAGATATATGAAATGGAAGTGATGGAAATAAAGGAGAACAGAACAGTAGGCATCTACTGTTTGGTGGGAGCAGAAAATAATTTTGTCTCTAACACTGAATTAAGGGTCCTTGGACTAATTCCACCTTAAATTTTTGATTCTAAAATAAGTGATCCTTGGCACACTTATATTGAACTCTTTGTGTAAAAGAAATTTAAAAAAATTAAAATGATAGGTGTTTGGATGTCAACTGAGTTAAAAAAAAAAAAAAAAAAACTAAGAGTCCATGGAATTCTAGTAAGCCTCAGACTTTATTTTTTATTTGTAGAATTCCTGGGTTACCTGTTAATTTTAATCTAGTTTCCATTGCTTTTCGTTTACTCTGATAGTTTTATGTTGAGAATAAACACTGCTCAAGTTTTTAGGGGACTGAAAACTGCTCTCCATTATGTCGAAAGCCAGAATTTGTCATTCTTTTAAAACTGCTTGTCCTTTATAAGTAATTTTGCACATTTTGGACACAACTTTAACTTCATTTTCTGATGACAAGCTGTTACTGTTGTGTTTCCTAGATCATTGATTCCCCAATTTTTACATTCATGCTAATACTTGTATAGTACCCAGGATTACACTCCAGAGAAAAGCACTTTGCCAAATAAGAAAATGATGCGGGTACACTTCATCTAATTTTAATGGACAAAGCTAAATTGTAAGCATCTTTTTACTACTGCTTATAGTCACTCACTTGGACTTGCTGTTTCCCAGTTCTGTGTTGCATACATTCTTATTCTAATTTTT